GGAAAAAGGAAGGAACAAAATATTAAAAAGAAGAAAAAGAAAAAAAGGGGGAAAAAAAACACAAAGGCAAAGAAAAAGAAAAAAGAAAAGGAAAAAGGAAAAGGAAATAAATTGTGGGAAAAAACCACATACAAATAAAATGAGTATTAGTGAAAAATGGACTGGAGCTCATACAGAACAAACTGTGTGTAACTCTCCCCCAAGGCAGACCATGAGTGCCCTTTTCTAAGATTTCTACTCTTTCTCACTGCTTTTATGGTATTACATTCCAAAACTGGCTTCATAGCTGCAGAGATACCACCGGAATTCCAAACTGGGATAAAACAAAAGAATCACAGAATTATAGAATGGCCTGGGTTGTAAAGGTCCACAAAGATCATCTAGTTTCAACCCCCCTTCTATGTGCAGGGTCACCAACTACCAGACCAGGTTGCCCAGAGCCACATCCAGAGAAGTAGGACTCAAAAAACCTCTTGGGGATCACCCGCTCTTCTCACTACAGGGCTGAAAAATCACAGAATTCTGTATTGATTTTATGAGAAGTAATTTGTTAGAGCATATAAAAATATTTCTGAAAATTCTTCTGAAGGGAAAGCTGTAAATTATTTTATAGAGAGCTACATATGGCTGTGATGTGTTTCTCCAATGCACTGAATAATTTAACGATAACAGTAAATCTGAAATTCCCATACACTGACTGTGATAAATGTATTTCTCAATTGCACATGTCACATACTCTTATATCAGCTAGGTAATAAATATTTTTATGAGCATTTTGTAATATTCTATGTTTATTCCCAAATCTATAAATACTTTAAAACCTTTAGAAATTTTAAGTTTTCTGAGATCTGCAAAGAAGAAATCTGTTAAAGACCGAATTCAAGCAGAAACTATACAGAAAGTGATCTTATTTTCCATGGGGGTTGGGGGGTGGTGCGGAGTGGAACTGCTCAGAGCTATGAGAGAGAAACCAAAATTTAAAACATAAGAAAGAGCATGATGAGATCAAATGAACTGTGATTAAGGGTTGTATTTTAGGAAATTATTTCAAGATGCTATATACACAATAAAGTAGGGAATAAATAGGTAATAAATAAAAGGCTAATATAGTAGGAATGAGAATAACAGAGAAGTTCAAGAAATTTTGGATGTGAAGATGGCCTCTTCCAGTGGGATACAGAAGAAGCTCTGAGTTATTCCCAGGTCCCACAGTAAAATATTCTGATGGATCTAATTAGGACTTTATGTGCATTTTCATAAACTGGATCAATGGGAGGAAAGAAGCATTTGTAACAGAGAACATAGTAGCACCATCTGTAGTTCATTCATGGAGTTTTGGGCATCAGTATGTCCTGGGTGCTTAGTGAAACAAATAAGGGCATTTTCTTTCCCAAATAACTTGTATTTAAGAATGGGTTTCCAGATGCAGTTTATTTCCAAAATCTCACGCCCCAAATTCAGTGCCACAATATATGCCAGAAACAGAGAAACGATGAGGACGCCAATAATGAAATCACAGTTACTTAATAAGACCCAGATCCTTACAAAGACTCTTAGCTTTAAACATATCAGTAATCCTTTTGAATCACCTGTAAATCGTGATGGTCCTTTAAATAGCGGTGTGTTCACATCCTAAGCAACTGCACGAGTGAGAGCATGGGCATGGCTGAAAGGCATTTGAAAGTGGGGAGGGAGGAGGAGTTCAGTGAAATACGTTTGTCTGGGGTTTCCCAAGCAGAATCACAGCATGGGCAGATGCCACAAAGTAGCTTCTGCCCCCTC